TATTATATTTTTATTTTTTTATTATTTTTCATCATTAAATATAGGCGTGGTCCGATAAAAATCAATGGGTTAAAGTACCAAATAATCTCGTATATGATCCAGTGTTTCTCAATCCTGGTCTAACCGCTCGTGATCAATTGCATCGCATACCATTCTCAATATTGCCACCACAACCTCCAAGCACGTTTAATAATGATCCAACAAATTCTAGTGCTTTACATGGTGTCCAATACTGGAAAGGTTTTCATTGTCTCCGTTGTGGTCGAATTTCTTGTCGTAATAAATGGGCTTTTTGGGAGTGTGCGAATTGCGGGGTACATTATCTTTTACGCAATTATATTTGCTATTTTTGATGCACTAATCTCATTCTATCACTATATGCAAATTGTAAAGTTAAGACATGAAGTACCTGAACAACTTCTTGTCCCTTCGATGTTACGTAACCCAAATCTTCCTGTGTTAATTGGGCCTGCGTTCGATTATGATTCGTGTATTAAAGATAACAGTGGGATTATGAAGACTAGTGAAGTGTCTGCAGAAGGCGCTGTTGTCTGTAAATATTACTTTCCTGAAGGTGGTTATATTTTACATCGGATTGGAAATAGCTCTATAAATAGAATATCGGATCAATTTTTCGTAAAATTCCAACGAAAAGATTTACCGTTTAAAAGGAATATTTTAAAAAAAGGCTGTAATAGAAGTAAGTGACTTTATTTTATTCATTTAAACTTATTCATATTATTAATGAAAATTTTATAGTTGGATCACAATTAATAGCTCGTCAGTTCACAATGAATGTTGGAGCAAAATATAAATTCTCGTTAGAATGTGACACATTAAGGTTCGAAGAAACTCCGCAAATTGTTCAGGATTGCTATAAATATATACATGAAATGTGTAATGCATTTGTCGATGTTAAATTTAATGAAATGTTATTAGCGGCATATTTAAATGATCAGCGTGTGAATATTCTCTCTTTTTTGTTTTGTTTTGTTGTTAGCTGTCAGCTCATTATTTTTCCGTGCTAATCATTATATTATATTGTATTGCTCATAATAAGATGTCATGGCACGGTAAGAAATTATTATTCTGACTTAACAGCGGCTATATGGAAGATATTACAATTATCTTCTTTTGTCATTCTAATAGATGATGGTGAAAAAGGGGTCGGACCAGTAATTGGGAATTTGTCCCTCGGAGCTTCTGCTGAATTGAAATTTCGAAGAAAAAAAAGGAAAATATCAAAGAATAAAGATTGCACGGATGATTTCTCTGTTGGGACAAGTGACTATTCTAATTCAAACAAAAAAGTCACCGAAGAAAGATTGCCACTACCATATACGATTCTTACGTCATCATCACCATATATGCCAATTGACGCGCTGGAGTTGGGCCTAAAATCACGTGGAACAGGCCCAGAGTTGATCCTGAAGATCCATCACGGTGATTTGCTGATGATGGTTGGACATGAAATTCAACGAAATTATGAACAGTAAGTTTGATAAATAATTTGGGTTATATGAAATTTTACTTTTAATAATATATACATTTATGTATCATTTTTAGCGCCCTATTTCCAGAAGGGTTTAGGATCTCAGCGACAGTACGATACATTGGAGAATCTTAAATCTACGTAATTTGTTCATTTCTTTATTTTTTAAATAAAAATTGGAATTGGATAAGGCTC